AATTGTATAACACGCTTTTAGCATTCACTACTCTGTAGTCTTTCTAAAGAAGTGACTTCTGCAAACGAACATAATGCCAGTGGAATGAGTTCTCAGTTATAATACTAATAAGAGCTACAAGGTAAACTTATGACTTTCTTTTACTATGAAAAAAATTTGCACAGGCAAATCATCCAATGACCACGGTGTGCTATGCAAATGGAGATTTTATTGAGGAATTTCCCAATGGTTGTATCAAATATGATAGAACATATTTTACTGAAAATGATAATGATGGTGGTGGTGGCAAGGATGATGATTGAAAATTTCTGGAAACCAAAATTCCAACAATTTTTTTGGATTTTGAAGGCTGCAGCACCAAATTCTTATGTCTTTCTTTCGAATCTACGTGAAAATTTGCACCAAAAACAGAATATTTGGCCAATAATAAAATGAGCAAAAGAAAGCATATACCAAAGGTGGCGGCAGATAGAGTAAACGGCTCTTGTGGGCTTACTAAACAGATTATTTTGCATCCTAAAGGAAAAAAGAAAAGCCACACAGGCAGCATCCAAAAGAGAAAGGAAACTCAAGACAAAGAGTTGGCACTAAAGCGAGTAATAAAGAAAGATGTGTTAAGAATAGTAGGGTAGTATGTATAAATTATTAATAGTAAGAGGGTGTATATATAATTCTTAGTATTATAGGTCAACAATAAATACAAAGATGTACGAGACTTGGTTAATTTTTTAACCTCTCTCTTTGTCTCTAATATTATATTAATCCTCCAAACTTAACATGGTGTGGTTGTGGTGGCTGTGGTGTGTGGTCTCTGTTCATCGCCCACTTGCGTCGTTCATGGTGGTGGTGTAGTGGCGTGATCACTTGTGGTGGTGGTGGCTGTGGTGGTCTTGCTATTGACGTCAGCTTGTGGTGTTGTACTGTTGTTGTGGCTTCTGTTCTTCTGTTCATCGGTCGTGGTAGTGGTTGTGGTGTTCGGTCGTGGTAAGGGCTGTGATGTGTGGTGGTCTTGCGATTGAAGTCGGCTTGTGGTGTGTACTGTTGTCGCAGACCAGAGGGTTGCTAACCCTAACCAGCGAGGAAGAAGAAAGGATCCAACGAGGTCTGGATCAAATCGGGTCAAGTCAAGCCCAGGACTTAAATTTTAAGTCCAAAACCGGTCCAGCCCACGGTTTAGTTTAGACCGGACCATGGTTCAGGCCAGTTCAACAGTCTAGAGAGCCTAGCCGGTCCGGTTCAAAGTGTTAGATTAGTTAGACTTAGGGGTAGTTTAGTCATTTTTTTATTTTTATGTTGTCCTAACTTAGTCTGATTATTTTTCTTTTGCCCTACTAAATAAAGACCTCTTATATAATAGTTTTCTTTTAAGTAGTTTTTCTTTAAGGTTGTTCAGGTTAGTTTTGCCTCAATAATATTTTTTTATTATTTGATCAAAGTTAACATGGTATCAAAGCATGGTTTCGATCCAAAATATATTGTAGCACCACAGTAATTTAGTTGAAAAAAGAATATATTCTTGAATTAGGGCTAACATCATCTATGACAATTTATTCTTGGATTAGAGTTGCTGATTTTGTTTGTAGTTCTAAGAGCTGTGAACAGCGCTGAAATTATTGTTCACGCGCTGTGAACAGTGCTAAAATTACTGTTCATGTACTGTGAATAGTACCGAAGTTACTGTTCACGAGCTGTGAATAGTGCCAAATTCGACTGTTATGGGTATTTGATTTACAAAATTGTTGAGTTGATTTGTGATGAACTTTGCATTGTATGACATTGACTTCCTCTTCTCATCTGTTGGTGTTTCTCGTTGTTGGGTCTTCTTCGCTGAACTAGTCTTTGCAAGGTAAGAAATCCTAACTACTCGGGTTTGTAAATTTTGGTTACTACTGGTTTGGGGTTAGTTCTGGTTTGACTATTCTTCTGATAATTTGGGCTTACTATTTGACATAGCGTTGCATTGTCTAGGTTTATTTGATTTGTCTGTTTGGACTTGTTATTTGATATAGCGTTACATTATTTGAGTTTGTTTGCATTGTTTCATACTGAATAAATAGAAAACTTTTATTTTCTTTCTTACTGATTGGTGGGTTTGAGCCTTTGGGACTGATTTTGTGAATGAACGACTGGGTGAGTATTTGATTTGCAAAGTTATTGAGCTTTGGTTTTCTATTGGACCCTTATTTGCTATTTGGGTGTTGGATTATTGGGTTGCTAGATTTTATTTGCTTTGAATTGCTTGATTTAAGTATCATGGCCAGTGGAAATTCTAATTCTCTTCAGGTTTTCAGTGTCAAATTAAAAGGTGAGAACTATGTATATTGGGCTTATGTTATGAAAAAAATTTTGTTGGGTAAGGAAATGTGGAGATATGTTAGTGGTGATTTGTCAGCTCCAACTGATCCTAAAGATGAGAAATATGTTGACTTAAAGAATACTTGGGAAATCAAAAACGCTAAAATCATCACTTGGATTAACAACTTAGTTGATCAGACCATTGGTGTTCATTTGACTAAGTTTAATACAACCAAGGAGATTTGGGATTATTTAGCTACCTTATTTGTTCAGTCTAATTTTGCAAAGAGGTATCAGTTAGAGCATGAAATTCGAGCTGCATGTCAGGGTGATAAGAATATTCAGGAGTTCTACTCAGTTATGACTGGATATTGGGATCAGTTAGCACTTGTTGAACCTGTCAAATTGAGTACTCATATGATATATCACACGTTTAGAGAACATAGGTTGGTGCAATTTTTGATGGCCCTTAGGGATGACTTCGAGGGACTTCGTGGTTCTATTCTTCATCGTAATCCACTTCCCTCAGTGGATGCAATAGTGAATGAGCTTCTGGCTGAAGAAGTTCGTCTTAAGACTCTTTCTAGAAAAAGTCTTTTTCCATTGCCTACTCAGACTATATTAGTTGTGCATCCCATGGTGATTTCTAAATATCGGGGTCATGTAGTTTCTGTCATGAGAAGGCTCACTGGAAGGCTCAATGCCCTAAACTGATAAGCAAAAATACAAAGGGGACAGCAAATTAGTCAGCAGTTGCAATACCAGTGGATGAGTCCTCCTCATAGGCACCCAGCCTAACTATACTTACTGATCAGTTACAAAAGTTAATCTCTCTCCATCAGCCTGGTGCACTTACAGTATCTCCTTCAGTAGGTTCATTTACCTCAAGTCCTTCAGGATCCACAGTCCAACAAGCTGATTGGGACATGCCGTAGAAAGGGAGGACTGTAGGCAGCTAGCAGATTTCTTCACAAAGTCGCATCTTGTCACTTGCTTTCGTTTTCTTCTTGGCAAACTCTTGATGTTTTCTGCTACCACATCATGAGTTTGAGGGAGGATGTTAAATTAGTTAGATTATTTAGACTTAGGGATAGCTTAGTCATTTTGTTTACTTTTATGTTGCCCTAGCTTAGTCTGATTATTTTCCTTTTGCCCTACTATATAGAGACCTCTTATATAGTAGTTTTCTTTTAAGTAGTTTTCCTTTAAGGTTGTTTAGGTTAGTTATGCCTCAATAATATTTCTTTATTATTTGATCAAAGTTAACACAAAGGTCCAGAGAGCTCTGGTAGCCCGGTTCAATGGTTCAACCCGGTTTCCATTACGGTTCAGTATTCCAGCTTTTCTTTTCTTCAGGTTTATCACTCCAGCAGCCTTAAGCAGTTTTGTTTGCTTCTATTATTTGCTATATTATTATGGAACCCAAGAATAAAAATAATGATAGTCAAGTTGATCTTATTTCATCCACGTCACCAAAATTTTCTCCTACAGTTCTACTTAATGATCCCATGACATCTGTTAAACTCAATGGGACCAATTATGTTTTGTGGTCACGATCTGTTCAATTGTTTCTTAGAGGTAAAGGCTTTAAGAAATATTTAGTGGATACTAAAACCAAGGAAGGTACTCCTAGGTATGATAAGTGGGAACAAGAAGATGCTCCAATTATTTCATTGTTATTGAATAGTATTGAGTACAGTATCAGTTCTACTTTGCTTTATCTTGACACGACCAAAAAGATTTGGGATCAGTTGACCACCATGTATTCTGGCGCTGGGAATTTCACTCGTGAATATAAAGTATGCAAATAGTATTTTCGTCTAGAGCAGGGTACTCTGAGTCTTGAGGACTATTACTCTCATGTTCGGGGAGTGTGTGAGGAGTTGAAGTTCTATCACCCCTTTACTACTGATGCAGCAGTTTGACAGAAGCAACATGAGGATTTGAATGTTGTTCGATTTTTAGTTGGTTTGAAACCTAAGTACAAGTCTATTCGCTCTCAGATTTTGGGTGGTTCTAGTCTTCCATCCCTACTTGAGGTTTTCTCCCACCTGTAGCGTGCTACCTTCTCTACCAGTTCATCCAACACGGAGTTTAGTGTGCTTGCTGATCGTTCAGCTCTTGTTGTCTCATAGAAAAGTAAGAAACAACCTGTGGTAGCAAGATCCAGTGTTGAGTATAGGACAATGACACATACGACGAGTGAGTTGACGTAACTACTACACTTTCTCCAGAAAATTGGGTTTCTAGTTCAACTTCCTTTAAAAGTTGTTCTGTGACAACCAGACAGCTATCCATATTGCTGTCAATCCTGTATTTCACGAGAGAACCAAGCATATTGAGATTGATTATCACTTTATTCGGGACAAGATAGTAGCTAGGGAGATTACAACTCCATTTGTGAAATCTGAAGATCAGCTTGCAGATATTTTTATCAAAACATTGAGTCGTACACGTCTTACAACTATTTGTTCCAAGCTTGGATTATATGATATATATAGTCCAGCTTGAGGGGGAGTGTTAATAATAGTAGGGTAGTATGTGTAAATTGTTAATAGTAAGAGGATGTATGTGTAATTCTTAATATTGTGGGTCAACTATAAATACAAAGATGTATGAGAGCTAGGTTAAGTTTTTAACCTATCTCTTTGTCTCTAATATTACGTTAATCCTCCAAACTTAACAAGATGCACACATGATTAATATCACAACACCTTCAAAGTATAAAGGGTAAATAAATTGCAATGTAAAAGAACAAGTATCACAGCAACTTCAAGTATTGACATGTACTTGTGGAACCTCATTCAAAAATGCTTCTGAATGACAATTGACAAATGAAATGCATACATGATTGATCATTCAAAATTTCTCAAATAGTAAGCACCTAAAGTACTAAAAGAACATGAATGGAAAAAAAAATAATTCTGAGCACATAATAGTACTTACTGTTGCTACCATGAACATTGTCCTGATCCAAGCATGCACTTTGTGCAGCTCTAATATGGCAACATCCCGGTTCATCCTTATCCTTCTCAATTGATGAGAATCCAGAGATCCAATCAAGTCTTCAGCAGTGGGAGAGTGCAATTTAAGAGGATGTGATGGCAACTCAACATTTTCTATGAGCAAGGATGGTTTCAAGAGTAACCTAAATGCCTCTTTCACTACCCAAGTCCCAAAGAAAGCGGAAGAGTGGATACCAACGAGTTCAAGCTTAAAAAAGCTTGGTGGAAAGAGTGTATGTGCTACAAAGTAAAGTCCGAATAGTATAATTTATCAAAAGGGAATGCAAGGTGCCAATCATATAATGCTTTCTGCAAGGTAAACGGATGTCCAATATATAGTTTTGTTGGCGAACAATTGCTTTGATTTGGAACAGCTGGAAGTGGTTCCATGCGTGGTGTGTGAATTGGACATCAAGGAATCCTATGAGAATAGAAGTTTGGTCATTTCTTCTTGGTATGTCAACAAGGGCTCTAAAAAGGAGGAGTAATTTGAGGGTGTCTTTCCAAGTAGCAGAGGACTAGGAGACTGATCCTTTTTCTTTTTCGCTCTTCATCATGATAATAAGGACTTAAGTAGTGTGTTCAGGAGGGTGGGGGTGATTAGCATGTTAGAGATCTCTCATCTACTAGCCAACAAATCACACAATTAATGTAGAGGATGAGATACTACGCAATCTCATACGCTCCTTGCTCCATTTTTGAGGCAATGTTAAGTTTGAAAATCAATCCTGGTAAAAGTGCCATTATCCAGTTTGAAGATGTTACGAATACTTCTACTTTGGCAAGGAACTTAGGATGTAAGGTGAACTCCCTCCCTTCCACCTAAGAGGGCTCCCACCAGGACTATAACAAAACAGAAATACATTTTAAACCTTTTGCAAAGAGGTCCTAAAGGAGGCTAGCAAAGTGGTTGAGATGAAACCTATCAAAAGGGGGCGACTTAACCTGATAAAAAGCACCCTGGCACTTCTTTCTATGTCCTTTCTATCCACCATTTCATCTTTAGTTGAGAAAAGTCCGAATAAGCTACACAAAGGCTTTCTATAGGAAGGCTTACGAAGGAATCTGATCATAAGGAAGTGGAGCAGAAGGTATAATGCTCCCTAGTTGAGTTTCTTACGGCATCAAGCTCCCCACATGATTCAGGAGGTATATGGCAGGAGAGCCAGCGGCGTAAAGTTTTTGAGAAGAGGCATGGCATTGGTGTCAGGGAAAACTTCAAAACAGGCGACATTAGTGCAAGGGGTAGGTCTTATGGTATCCCTTTATGAGAAGTTGAGGAGTCTCTCAAAACATCAACTTTATATTAGGATTGTGGGGAACAGTAAGACAGACACTTGATATCTATATTCTGCTCCCAAGGAGGATTATCCTGTGCTGATAAGTTAGCGTGCTGATAAGTTAGCGATCAACAGGATGACATTTATTGCAAAATATGTAAGTCATTCAGGTGGACATATAGTAAGAACTTCAAAAGCGGCATAATTATCCAAGAAAGAGAGTCCGAATCCACTTGTGCCTTAGCAAGGTTTAGGAAGAGGGGAGAAGGAACTTGAGGTGAAAATGTGCACATACTAAGATCTTCTCATTCAGACGGAAAATCAATTAGTAGGGCAGGGCTGTAAGTGCAAAGGAGTGGGTAAGCTGATCAACCACTTAGTCTTGCACTGTGTGGCAACTAAGGGAATGTGCACTTCCCTGCTTACCTTAGATGGTGCATGTTGAGTTATCCCCTCATTGGACCATGTTGACAAGCTGAAAGGAGGGTTGTGTTTACAAGAAATATTGGGAGGTAAGAAAAGCGGCATCATTGAATTTACTGAGGAATCAAGAGGAAGAGAGAGAGAGAGATAGAGGCATAATTTTAAGGGTGAAAGCTCTTATTGCAACACTTCCGAATATCTTTTGGAGTATGAAATTGTTTGGTCTAAAATAAACATATTCGGTAACCCAGGTGATTCTTGAGTAACTTGTACTGTCTTTTTGATTCAGTTGGTCCTTTGTATACTGTGTATACTCAGGATTTGTTTTGTTGTAGTTTTGTTTAACAAGGAATTGGCATTGGGTGAGTCTAAAAAGATGTTCAGCCTTATGCATTGCCTTCCAGTCTGTTGATTGGAAGATCATAAAACACCTTCAAGAGTTTCTTGAGTATACAAAGCTGCACAACAAAAGACATAATTTAGGGCACATTCTCCATAACAAAACCACAGTGCAAAAAGTTTAGTGGTCCCACTCAAATTTTATTGGTCATATCCAAAGATTTAAATCATAGCAGTGTACACAGACATCGCATGTCCTGTTTTGACATGAATGGAGAATGTAAGACAGGGCAACTTCCTAAACATAAAAAAATAGCCCTATATGTGCATTTATATATTAATGACTAAACTGATGTAATATATATCAATTTACACTGTGCAATAACATAATTTTGCGAAAAAAATTACTTACCTAGCTTGACTTCTCCATGAGAGCAACTTTTTGTTTCGGTCCTTCCACCAGAAACCAGGGAGGACGCCTTAGTTTCCTCTAACTTTTTCAAAGGATCACCTGAAGAGCAAGTTGGCACTCCAGTTACACTCAACAATGTCTCCGCCATCTCTGGCATTGTTCCATCTGCTTTTTTGTTTTTCTCAGCAAGCTGCTTCTCTTTAGCCTCATTCTCTATTTGTCTTTGACGCTCCAAATGCTCTTCAAGCATTCTTTCCTCGGCTTCAAGCTCAAATTTACGCCTAAGTTCCTCTTCCTGCTGTTTCAGTTCACTGGCAATTACAGAGACAACACTCTGTGATTCTGGGTAATCCCCATCTTCGGGAACAGAAAACTGACTGTAGAAACACAATAAGTCAACCTACGTCAATTCAAAACAGACCGAGCTCATTTAGGAGAAAAGGATGCTATACTGAAGGTGAAAATAGAGGGGAAAAAGGCTTACACTTGATCTGCATCCTTCTCGTGTAGCACCTGTTTCTGTTTACCACTATGAAAGCATTAAACTACCTCACACAAAAAATGAAAGACAGCTACCACTTGAAAAAAGGAAGTGAATAAATAAACCAGACTCCGCAATATAAGACCTTGGAATCCTTGGATTTGCGGTAATCCTTTTTCTTTTTCTTATCCTTCATCTTTCCCTCAACATGTTTCATCTGTCCCTTGCTAAGACGCTTGTTGGCATCAGATTCAAGCTCCGCTAACAATGCTTCTCCCGCAACATCTGACTTCCTTATTGCATATTGGTAAACCAGATTCTCCAGTTGTGCCTGGAAAAGAGAGCTCAAGTCTGAAAAAGTTTCACTTAGGGCATACAAAAAATGGCCAATTTACCGTAAAGGGTTCAACAGGTAGAAATTCAAACCTGGATGAATGACTTCAGAAGGGGCACTATAATCGTCCGGTAGTCATGGACTGATACTTTTGCAAGTCGTGAATATAGCTTTCGAATATCAGCACAACTCCTCAGGATCCTTGCATCATCATTGAAAATCTGCAGTACAGAATCTAATGAGACTCCATGAACATATCTTAAAAACATCTTTGAAAAAACAAAAAAAGAAAATGAGATAAAAATGTAAAAAAAAAAAAAAAAGCTTCCTCAGTGCACCTAATCTTGACAAAATACTGTGGAATTCCAGCAATTATTTGGGGAAGATTCACATTGTAGGGAAGAGTATCAAAGTTTCTAATTTGTTAGAAGGCTTGACAACTCTTTGTATGATTATATGATTTTACACCAATCTGGGTACCAAGGAACAACATACCCACCTCTTTCGAACTCTTCCTTAATCGCCCTTGAACTAAATTTCTTATGCAATTGTCTCCTTGATGCGCTTCATCCTGCATTATGTATTCATGGTTTTGTTCACATGCAAATTTGCAAAAAACAAAAAACAGCAATAATCACAGTTGTTTGCATCCAACCTCATTCACATTTACAGCTTGAGCTTCCTGGAGAATTTTTGGTATGAGATGCAACTCAGATCTACTAAGAATATCCTCCCTCTCAGCAAGTTCCTCTTGCAGCTTTTTCAGGAGTGACTCGTAAGTTTGAGGTACATAGCTTACACCTTGCTCCCTTTTGTGAAGTTCTTCGATGCAGATTCTATGAATTTCATGTAATGCTTTGTCGTGGATCAAATGCTGACTTTTTCTCATACACATGTTTTCCAAGCTAGAAATTTCCTTTTCGAGGATCAGATAAATTTCCACCCCTTGACGAACTTTAGACTTTTTTATGTTTGGCCATGATGCTAACTGGTCTTCAATTGTAAAACCCGAATGCAACCAATGCGCAATAGCATCACAATCTGGCAGAACATCTAGTTCATGATCACCAACAGCAAAAGATGTTGCAGACCCATCATCCGCAGCTGCATTATGAGATGTGGACCTCATAAACTCCCTGCCCTGTAAACTCCCATCCAAAAGGACACACAATGTGTCACCACAAATAACTATCCTTTCTTTGGATTCGTATTCCGGGTAGGAATTAAGTTCATCCTCCACGAAATCACCTATCTCAAAAAGCAAATCCTGCAAGAGATTACTAATTTCATTCAGCTGAGAAGTCCCCAGAAAACAGATGCAGAGGGGTGTTTGGTCCAGGCCATCGATCTGCAGCATTTTCATGGTGCAATTCATCACCTTCCTGAGATGGCTCGCAGCAATACATTCATGTCGCAGAAGCAACTGGAACATGCTGTGGATTCTTTCGAGGGTTTTTGCACGCTCACAATTATCAGACAATGGCCAATTCTGATCCAGGTCTTTTGACTGATTTTGAATGATTTCCATTGCCATGGCAGTGTCCACAGGCTTCCATATACCATTCACAAGCACCTCCATCGATTGATCATCAATTTTTTGTGGCGTAAATGCTTTGGATTTTGCTGATAATAGGTGCCCCAAATGCTGCTTCTCTAAATGATCGATAAGCAAGTCCATGTTCAGAGATTTATGATCACAGATGCAACAATCCCAGTATTTCCAAGTAGAAGCATTTTCAGCATGATGGATAGCGCCGCCCAATAGATCCTCTGCAGCCAAAACACCCGTAAATTTGGCACAATAGTCCTTAACATCGCTAATTTTTGGTCTCAGGCACGCTCGCTTCTCCTCGACATCCATAGAGTTCCAAAAGCTCCGAACCTCTGAAATCTTGCCGGCATCCAACATCGGTTCTTTAAGTTCGCCAATCGGCGGGGTCAACTCACAAGTCTTATCCGATGTAACCATCTCAGGCCCTTGTTGCAAAAGTCTGGCAGCAATTACACGAGCCTCGATCTCCTTCCTCTTCTCTTCAACCGCCTTTACTGACATTGGAGCCTCTGTGCACCCAATCTTTGACTTATCTAAAATCGATTTCAATGCTATTTGTATTCGCTCAAGCTCATCTCGTGAAGTTTTTATAACAGGCAGAAAATTAAACAATGATAGACCTCTCTCGCATTCTTCCACGACTTCTTTGCGATCTTGATCATTGCTCGCCAATGTAGAGAGCAAAATCGCGCATGTAAGCGCGAACTCAATCGAGTTGGGGGAAAGCGATACAGCTTTCTTCGCAGATTCGAGAGCTTTCTTCCAGTGTTCTAGGCTCGCGTACTGGTCTTCGGTTTGTTCGGCGATTCTGGCGTGTATAACGGCTTCAGTGTGATGTGCGAGACTGGAGTTTTCGTAGCGAATACGTACATCGGCGATGCGTTTCAGGGCTTTGGTTTGATTTCTTCGGTTAAGAGCATCAAAAGCCCGATGACATTCAACATGGATCGCTTCATATTCGAGTTGTTCTGCGTTACTTTGTTCTTGATGCAGATTGTCTGAAGAAATCGTATTCGGCGGTGCTCCGTCGCTTGTGGTTGCGTTCTTGGCCGTCGACGGTGGTTTGGAGGGTGAAGGAGGGTTTCGCTTCTTCTTAGATCCCATTGAATGTAGTCTCGAAAAAATTTATTTGAATGAACGCGGAAAAAGTTTATACGAAAAATGGCGCGCGGAATAAAGCTGACCGGAGTCGGAGGTGGCTCTTGATTTCTCGGTGACTGTGTGTGGGGTGGGTAACTAAGTACTAACCGTCGTTGCAGAAAAATAGGTGGCGGAAAGCCTAAAACGTTTTCAATCAATTTCACTCATCCTATATACAATAATCAATAATATAGTACCCTCATATTTGTTATAAGTAAAATGTCACTTTACAAAACATGTTAACAATTTTCAATTTATACCCTTGAAGATTATAAATATCATATTAAACCCCTTAATGTCCTTTCTTGTCAAGAAAAATATCAAAGTGGTTTAAAATTGAATTGACAATGTTGATTTCGCAATTCGCATACAATGTTTTCATGTTCCTTTTATGTGTTAGGAATAATCAATTAAAATGAAATTTGTCTAACACAGTGCCACACACACACTAGATCACCATCTTTCTTGTGTTCACCCTTAATGATCCTATTGTATTCAACTATTCCATTTCAAAACACATCATTCCCTCCCATCATACTATCAACAAACCCTTATTTTTTCGCACTTTAACCACTGCATGTCTAAGACATCTGCATGAAATTAACTATATAAATAATACGTAGATGAAACACATAAATGTAACTAAGTAATTGTGTTTGAATTCATTAAACTATCCTCAGGTTTATGTCTCTTCCCATTCAAATTATATTCCCCTACAATTTACGACACATTAATCATTCAAATTATTCTCTACAACCACTACTAAAAAATCTTTGACACCATCCTCCTCGAGAGACATTCTCTACGAATCCATGTTTTTCATTTTAGATTTATTGATGGAGTTTTTGAAAGAGAGGAAAAAAATAATACATTAAAAACAAATTATTTGTGTTTCTAATCAAAAGATAAATGAGAATAGCAACATGGTGATTCAAAAATACTTAAAGATCCTAAAAATTACAGTTATAATAATATTATTGGAACACATTAATCATCACATTTTGCTTGACCCCACTTCAATTGCTATAAAGCGAGAATTCTTAGATATTTTGTGATATAAAGTATATGTCACTAATTTTTTGCTCTCAATTTTTCCCTCAACGTGCCAAATTGTATATTATTTTCCGTACCTTTTCCGCTTTCCAAAAAGAAAAATTAGTGGTAGTAACAATTAGTAACACACACCGCTTGGCACATATAGTGGGACCCACATAGCATTGCTCATAGCCAAATCGTATACACCTTTCCACGTCCCCCCTCCAACCCCCTCCTTATGTGCATATTCAAGAATCCAAACTTTTATATCCGAACCCATCCCTTTATATACACACCCCATCTTGTATACATGTTCTAGTCGTATAACGGGTCTCACTCTCTCTCTCCACAGTTCTTTCTCGTGATTCCACTTCCTAGCTTTCTACTTCTGAAAAGCCTCCCGGAGCTTGCGAGAACGTCGCGTCTTGAATCGTCTTTTCGGTTTTGGTTCCTTTTCCGTGATTCTTGCATCTCTGGTAACAATTTGCGGTGGTTTTGTTATGTATTTCACATAACTTTTTTATTTCTGATATGTATGTACGTATGTATAATATAACTCTCCGTATAAGTTGATGTGTTTTATCGTTTGAGCAGTAAACGTGAGAGTGAGATTGAGCGGCGAAGTTGAAGAGAGAGAAAGGCATTCGGATTCGGCTCTGCGTAGAGAGATGGAGGCGGAGGAGGGGAATGTTGGTAAAAAGATAAAGATTGGTGTATGCGTAATGGAAAAGAAGGTGAAATGCGGCTCCGAGGTTCTGGTTCTGTTCTTGTTTCTCAAATCACAGAAAACCGAAAAAAGCATGCATGACATGTATATTGTGTAGCAATCACTATATGTTTTTTAATTTGGCTTTGTCATTCATTTTGTTTATTTTCAATCGTAATATTAGGTTTTTTCTGCTCCAATGGGGCAGATTTTGGAAAGACTACAAGCATTCGGAGAATTTGAGGTATTGAATCACACTATTCACAGTTTACTGTGTTATTATTACTGTTTATGGAAATAATAAAGGTGGATTTCGGACTGTGAAAAAGGAAAATAGGTTGTAGGTGATTAGATTAGTTTACGTGACAGTGCATTCCTTTATTTGTTTTCTCTTCATTATACAGAATTATCACGTTCCAATGTCGCAAGCTGTTTTGAGCATGTTATATATGATGAATAAGTTTCTTATGGTGGTGTGGTCACGCTGGTTCTATTTCTCATGAAATCCTTGTGTCCTATTTTATTGCAGATTCTGCATTTTGGTGACAAGGTAATTCTTGAGCATCCAATAGAGAGGTACAATTTTGTACAGTCAGCAGAAAATTGTCATGTGCACTGCACTGTGTGTTGTGTTGTCAAACGTTGCTTTTATGAATTTGTTATTGTGTTGTACCCACCCTTTTCTGTTAAAATATCAATGAAGAGATTTGGAAAAAAAAAATTAGGTTTGTTGAATAATGATGCACATGCTTTTATCTACTTGAATGCCAGTTTGACTAATTTCCCTTCCCAACTCATTAATGTCTACATGTCTGATGCATCTCTACTTCATTTATGATGTTGTATCATAGGCATTACAATATTTTCCATTTTCCCCTCATTTTTTTTGGGTGGTAAAGGTTAACACAACACGTACCTGTCAGAATAAATGTGTAAGAAACTAAATACCTATAAATTCTAACATTTATGTGTTTGTCATAAACCAACATAGTTTTATGGTTTCTAACAGATAAACATAAAAAATAATATTTTATGTGTCTTGCATTTGAAGATATTGGTCATGTTCGATTTATTGAGTGTTTTTTACCAAGCAATTATAGTCATTCGTAGTTACTATGGAGCCGAAAAACGTATTCACATTATTAGTTTTACTATATTTTCTGGAGTGAAAGACATCTTTGGTGTTGGAATGCAGTTTAGTTACTATGAGTGACCAAATTCTTATCAATGTATTACAGCTGGCCAATATGTGATTGCTTGATTGCCTTCCATTCCTCTGGGTATCCCCTTGAAAAGGTTGAAGCATATGCTTCATTAAGAAAGTAAGTCTACTATTACATTTTCCTTTTTCTTTTATGTTATTATATTTTTATAAGCATACAAACATTATTTATTGACTGCATTCTATACAGAGGACACAACCCTAAAATACTTAGATACTGCAAATGAAACTAGAGATTGTGAGATAGTTTAAGAAGATATTGATTTTGTTGTTACAGCTGCAGAGAAATGAGGTGCTAACAGCTAACTACAATGGTAAAGTGTAGAACTAAGTATATAGGAAATTGAATGTGTGTACTTATGCACATGTCTCTAAAACGAAGCTAATATATACATACATGTGCCTACTGGCCTTGATGCTAGCCACCACAACGCTTATATAACAACATAAATGTTGTCTAGATTATTCATTTATTAAGGATAATCCAGTGCACGAGACTCCTGCCACAACATGGTTAAGGAAGGGTTTTATGAATGTGACAATTCTCTCACTTGTGGAGGGTCAATCGAACACATAGATCAAAATGGAGTAACCTTAGCAATGAGCCAAGGTTCATTGGATTATTCCATTATTACATGAAAAAAAAAGTTTTCTTCAGCTTGTTTAGCTATTTTCCAAATTTTTGTTTCGGCTAATACCTATTGGTGCCTTCATGTTATCTAACAAACAACTTGAATATCAAAAATGCACCCATTTACTAGTGAGACCTTGCAAGATCATGCCAAGGTTTAATACTGTTAGAAAAATCTGCACCATCAAAATCTGTGGATGCAAATGTTACCTTCATTACTTCTAGACTATTTAATCCCCTGATTGTTAGTAGAAGTTAAAGTTTGCTGAAAGTCTTCGACCCTTCTCCCACCTAGTTGAAGTTAATCATGACATCTAGGATCCCATTTTTGCTGAATGCCTGGGGACTCAAACTTACACTTGAACCATCATTTTTGGGTCAGTGTCTTTTTCTTCTGTGTATTGCTATCATGTCGTTGTTGCCCTTTCTGTAGTTGCAATCACCTTCACCACACTACCAGCAACAGTATTCCATGCGCCATCTCATAGTTGCCACTATTATTTCTATGTTTGTTTGCTTCACTGCACCAGAACAACTCCGGTGTAGAACTAAAACTTTTGCCGTTGCAGTAAGTTTTATCTCCCCCTCCATCACAACCAATATTTATTCAGTGGCCTTGACATTCATTTAATTGTCACAGATAGGACCATTGGCATTGAATATGCAGAACCAAGTGACTTCCAAAATATACATTTTATACTGCTAACAACGAATCTAGGAAATATTTAGGAAGGAATAATTTGAAATAGGGTAGAAAATTGACTGGACAAGTATAGATTTATGGACAAATATGGGAGAAGGAAGCATCTACCTTATGGATGGATGAAGTTCCTCAGGGAAAAAAGAACATAAAAATGGGGGAACTTACATTTCTTGAACATTTTTGAATTTATATTTATACAGAACATTAAATCCTCTGTACCTACATATTTATTTTTTCAGTTCATTTATTATTTTATTAATGACAAACAATTAAGATAATTCATAGTCATTTGTAGCAGAATTTCTACTTTTATCTATTTGAGATTCATTTATTTCGATTTCGAACTGGAAGAATTCTTGCCAAAGGAGCAAGTACTTTAAATCTATTTTGGTGTCAAAATATTCTTGCCAAAGAAAGATTATGGAGGAGAATAACTACTGTCAATTATGGAAAGGCAGTATGTAATTACTTTTAACGAAGTCGATGATGCTATACTATTGAGTTCTTTTTATGCGGGTGATTGAATTTGTGGTTGGTAATATTGAAAGATGTAGCTTCTTATACATTTGGATGTGAGAAGCGACCTCTAAGATGCATTGGTCTTTATATCTGTTCTTCTGGATTGAGTAGTGGTCTTTTAGGAGAATCTGAGGATCAATATATTTGTTTTATGTTGGACTGCTCAAGTTTGGTGGCAGATGGTTATTCTGAACTGTCATACTGTTCTGAGGGCACCAGCTGCTTTTGGTGGTAAATTGATATATGCAGGATGTGGACTCTTTCTCTCTCTCTATATATATATGTGTGTGTGTGTGTGTGCGTGTGTCTAATTTTTCTTTGTCTGTAATATGGTGTGATTATGCCCGGGCCTTTTGCTCTTCAAGCGGTAAAAGGTGGCCGGCCATTCGTTAAGGCCCAGGAATCCGCTGGACATCTCAGCGGCGGGATAATGTTTTCTCTATGTATTATCCTAACAGTTGTAGATGAGGGGTGCCTCATAATATTTCTTGTGCAAGTGTGACAAGAATGTGCGGACCATTTAGTTATTCATTACCTGTTTCTGTGCTGATTATTCCTTTATATTTGACATCGGTAATGCTTATGCTCTTGCTTAATCTTTTCTGTCATTGGATCATTGAAGGATTAAAGTATGACAGGGAGCCTGAGTGTGACGTAGTGGTTCTTTTCTCTCCTGCCTGAAGAGAGGGAAGGGCTGGGGTATATACAAGGATTCTTTGTTGGAGTTAATTGTGTGATAACACTTCTTTACATTTTAAAAGTGCAAGTTTCTTCTAATGTAACTTACAGAAATCTTTTGTGACTCTTTTTACATGAAAAAATCTTTAGTAATTATTTCCTCTAGTACTATTGTGTCTTTATGTGGTCCTCTTTACTGTTGTGTACAGAGGAAGCATCTGCATATGGTTTGTGTTTCTCTTTTGTAGGAGTCCTGCTTTGTGACATGCTTTCTATTTACCATATGCTTGATGTACCTGGTCAGCCAAATCTTGGAAGACTGCTTTATGTTTTGCAGTTATCATAACAAGAAGTCAGTTGGTCACGACTCTGCAAAATCTGTTGTTTCAGGCCTTTCCTTGTGAATGAGTTGGAGCCACAGCATCTTCTTCATGATCGAAGGAAAGTATATGAGGTATATCTTTTGATATTTTTCTTCTTCTAAGGGTTCAAATTCAGAAAAAAAAGGGGAAAGTAATTGGCAAAGTTTTGTTTGGGATGTCTTAAAGTTTTTTCTATGTATTGTTTCTTTTTTTGGAATACACAGTTGGGAAATTATTTTTTTTGGTTGTTTACCAAGTTGCGTAGGCTGTGGTGGGATGTCATCTTTGCCAATTGATGCCATAACACCAACATTGGTAGATTATTAGGTCACAGCCTTTATTAGGAGGGTGTTTTAGAGTTATGATGAGGTGTGTAATGGCAAGGGGACGATTGGGATTGGGACAGATAGTAATGTGGATGAGTCCTTTGGGGGCGAAATTTCCCTCTCTTAATATCATTGAAGAATATACAGGTCTTGGTACTTAATTACAAAATTATTGAGTTTGGTCCTCCCTTCTGGTGGCCGACCTTAAGAGGAAAAATGAACGATTGCCTGCTTAAGGTTTTGGCTGCTTTTGCCTGCCTAAGCTTTTGGCTACTTCCCTTATCTGGGAAGGAGGAGACAATAAAAACTGAATTTTGGAAGTCGAGGGAATTTTACTATTAACTCTTTGTTCTCCACTAGACTTTTGCCCTTCCTTTTTTCAATAGTTTCTTTTTATGAGAGAGGATAATGCCTTAAAATTCCTTTGCGTTTACGTTCTTTGTTGAATAACCCTTCTTGGCAGAATGTTATGATTTAGCAGCATAAACATAGAGAATGGCATCGATTCATTGGTTTTGTGTTTTACTTTGACGGGTAAGGGGTTCATCCCCTATTTCATGCTAAGTTTTTGTATGATGGTTTTCCTTTCACTCTTTTTCCGTCTCTAGTCTTCCTGCCCTCAATGAGTTTTCTCTTTCGTGGGTAATCCGTGGTCCATGATAGCTTCAACGACTGGCTTTTGCTGTGCTCTGCATAGTGGTCAATCCTGTTGTTGCTGGCCCATCAGATGTTATTATAACACAGCCCAATAAATTGTGACAGTGATGTGAGTGTTAATCTTTCTGAATTTCCATGCTACTCGGTTCTCAAGATGAACCATGTTGTGGTCTCTACCCTGAAAATATCTTCAAAACCATACCTGAACACCCCCATGGTGGAGCGGACCACAACCACCCACAGTACCTAATCAACCACCATCAATTTGCATATAAACCAAACCCAAAATTTTGCCAACACTGCTCATATCACTGGAGCGCACCTCCTATGAAACCATATCTACTACCAATATCATGTACACAGCAGACACACAAAAACAGAGACGCACGCGTACACTTACAGACAGGTACTATGACCTTTTAGATAATTATAAATCTATGCTTTACTTGTCTTCCAAACTTACTTACATTCTTCTTACTTGATTATTATGATGAAGTGAAGTTATAAAAAAAAACCTTGTAAAATCTATAATAATTTGTTATGCACCCTCTCTTTAGTCTACATGCCTAAGATCCTCAATGTAATTGCTTGTTGCCCTTCCCTCTTCCTCTTTTGCTTATCTGCTCCACTATCCTTTGGGCCTTCTTAACCCAATGCTCCTGACCCTTACTTGATCAAAGAGAAGCATATTCATTACTTCAATATTTTTTGCTCTCTGATTTTGTTTTCTTTTACTTTGATCTAAACTGGGCACAAAAATTATTTCTTTATTTTTAAGTTGTTTATTTGTTTTTTTTTTATCCTTTTGACAATAATATTTGCATTTTTTTGGTGGGGAATTCAAGCGTCTTGAAATGTTTGGAATACATGTTCCAAGATATGCCCTCATAAATAGAGAAGTTCCATATCAAGAGTTGGATTATTTTGTTGAGGAAGAAGATTTTGTTGAGGTTTATGGTAATCGTTTTTGGAAGCCTTTTGTGGAGAAGCCAGTTGAAGGTATGCTCTTTGTCTAATTTTACTGTTAGATCGTACAATGCTGCTGCTTTGTTGACCAATTATACATTTGTTAAGCAATGGTGCCCAGTTGCTTATTATTCTTTCTGCTTATATTTGTAATTGTGTTAGTGATAGATCTTTATTATTTCAAAGAGAATAATAAATCTTTTTTTTTGTGAAGGTGATGACCACAGTATAATGATATATTACCCTAGTTCAGCTGGTGGTGGCATGAAAGAGTTATTCCGGAAGGTGAGGATTTTGCTATTATCTTTTATTTGGTTTTGAGATGAATTGTGGTTAAAGTTATTGTAAAGTATCTTTGGAGCTTGGTTGATACCTTTTGCCTTTTTTCCTTTTTGGGGGTGAGGAGTGGGTTTAAAATCTGTATAACTGCATTGAAGTATTATATAATTTGGGGATGTGTGTGTATGTCATCCAATGCATAAGCTAGCCTGTAAGAAAATTGGATTTGTTTTGGTGACATATGGATTTGTGTTTTGGATTCACCATGCCAGCTCTGTTCAAATGCTCATGTTTGTGAAATCTTAATTGGCCATGGCTGCTATTATTCTAGCCAAGTTATTGTAGCATGTTAATACACCTTGAGGGTCTTCTATGGAAACCAAACATTGGATGATTAAGGTGACTCTGATGATGTGGTAGGTAGAGTGACTCTAGTTTCGGACTTTTGGGTTGATGCTCACTTTAAGCAAGAAATCCAGCTTCTAGCATTTAGAATAAGCTGTTGGTTTCTTTTTTCCTGTAAAGCTTTGCTGATGGGAATGTGCTTTAATGTACCCTGTTCTTACCCTCTTGGAAATTTTGCAGAATTGTTGTTGGAGTTATTGTCTTTCTAAGGGATTCCAGATTTGCTGCGCTTTAGTGTTCATAAGTGATGAGAAAATTCATGCTCCCCAGATTCATATTTTTTTTCTATGATTTCAGGTTGGTAATCGGTCTAGTGAGTTCCATCCAGAGGTTAGAAGAGTTAGACGAGAAGGCTCCTATATATATGAGGAATTTATGCCAACAGGGGGAACAGATGTGAAGGTTGTATAATCTATGCTTCTATAGTCTTCAGGGAATGGATTTCTTGATTTGTTCAGATTTTTTATCGAGGATGAATATATGTTATTCTAGTTGCATTTATATCTTGAAGTCAGTCCTGTTAGTATTCCTGAACCTGTGCCTTGAGTTCAATATTGTTACATCCTCAATATAGAATGTGAGATGAAACTAAAGGAACCTTTGAAGGATAGGGATGTGACATTGACTATTTGCATGAAAGATGTTGATTTCTCCTTATAGAGGCAAACAACTTGTTTTGTTTTTGATAAGAAACAATGATTTAATCATAAAACAAAAGTACAAAAGGAATGTCAAAGTTGGACAAGACATCCAAAAACTAAGACATGAAACAGGGAAAACAAAAAGGAAAAAAACTTTGCAAATACAATTCACTGCAACCCACATGACGCTGTCCAGCTTGTAATAATGTAAGACAGAGAGATATCTTCAAACTCTTTAGACACAGAGGTCCAAAAGGAAGTCAAAAAGTAAAATCTATTCCCAAAGTTCTTCAACCTCCTTGCATTTATCATAAAAAATTCTTGCATTTCTTTCCAACCAAATCACCCAAACCAAAGCATTCCACGCACAACACCAAAGAGTCTTCCACCTCCTATTCCCACCTCCACTCAAAACATCCAAGCATAACATTAAAAACATACTTCGTGGTGCCACCCAACAATGCCCAGCAAGTCTAAACATCTTATTTCATAATGAGAATGCAATAGGACAATGCAGAAATAAATGGTCAACACCACCACCTTTACACATAACACACCAATGTGGTGAAAGACAAATCTTAGGTCTCCTTATAAGCACACCATAAATATTAAGTTTGCCCTGAGCAATGATTCATACACAAATTTGTACCTTCATTGGGAATCTAAATGAAGATAGTTTACATTGCACAATATCTGTGAAATGAAATTAAACAAATTCAAAGATCTGATTGCATGGATCTGAAGTATTAAGGACTTAGATCCAGATTATTTTGTTGGCTTTGAAGTAGTACACAGTAATTTTATGCATTAGAGAAATAGAACTTCATTTACACGCTTTTAGATAACTACAAAGAAGTGAAAATTTGTGTGAACTCTCATGTCTCATCTATAATGCCAAAAGGCGACCATTTCCTCTTTCATTCCTATTGTCCACTACAAATGAGCCCTGATATATCTAAACTGATTCCATCTCATGGATTGGCCTCCTGATGGGGCCATATGTCTCTGCTTTCCTTGTATCTCCCTTCTATTTGGTTTAGGGAAAAAAGTGCATCCTGTATCTTTATCACCAAGATGCTGTCTGTGCTTAACTGTGCCAAACTCCCTTGGAAGCCTCTTGTTGAAGGTGTTATGAGTGGAGAGGAATTATAGCTGGGAAGAGAAAATTGAAGTCCACTATGACTCATTACCTTAACCACAATGAGGGAGATGCGAAGGCAGGGCTAATCACCGGAGTGAAATCATAATAAGTTAGCCAGAAGGTGTGGCTAAGACACCTCCTTTTCAAGGAGAGCTAATGCTTGTTGGGTATTTTGGTTTGACACTGCTAAACACAAACTGATGCCTTGGAACAGAAGCCATTTAGAAGCTGAGATTTGATTCAGGACCAATGTCACCTGGACAAGAAAAATTATGGCACTTCTTGGCCACAGGTTACTGTATCAGCATTGTTGAAAAATTACTGGCCAAACTCTGTTAGCAGTTACAGTCATGCTATGGTAATTACCAACACTAGGCTCTTCTATGGTTATTCAATTGGAAATCACTTATGTAAATTTTTTAGGAAGTTTTATCGCATTCAATGTCTTGAAATCAAGCAATATCTATTCCTTGGGCGCTTAAATCATTTAGGTCCAACATATCTCTTCTTTTGTATTAGGAGTAGGTATTTGAAGGAGTGAATGAAAAAGAATAGTTGGGGTTTACATTTTTTCTTACCAGCTGTGGTGTTGTTGGGTGAGGGTTTGCCCTTTCAAAATCAAGCTTTCTGCTTGAATAGGTCAATATACTCTCTTTTATATAAATTCCACCTATTCCGATTTAATGTTCTTAGGATTCAATCCTGCTGCATCTTTAGATCCTAGCCGCCCTTATTGCATAAGATCCTATGCCTTAAACCTAAAGCCCTCAAAGCGATCCTTGCACCATGAAATTCTAGCATCTTCCCACCCAGATTATTCACATGATAGCTGGCCAACTAATCAATCTTGTTTACGAATATATGTGTGCCACTAGGTTCTGAAAAATCAGATGATTAATGACTGCTCCACTTAAAGGGAAGACATTTTTTTATGAGTGGACTTTCAGCATTTACATATATAATGTCACTAAGGGGATTCCAACAAGACTAGATGTTAGAAGGATCACCAAGAAAAATATTTCTGTTTGCTCTTTAAATTGATTAATTGCATTTATGGAGTAGATGAAGAAGCATACGTGGTTTCTACTAGGAAATGTATCTCTTCAGCCCTTTACGGTGGGAAGGTGTTCTGGGTAGGAAGGGGCTGTCTATATCATTCAAGTGCATGTTATCCTCTTGTTGCTCATGCATATTAGACCTTTATAAGCACAACCGAGGAGACAGATGTGTAGCCTGTTCTTCCACATTCATATCAGTTCTTTATGTTTTTACTACTTATATTTGATGATATGCAGCATCATGTTTTCTTCACTCTTTAAACGTTTAACCATTTTATGTGATACATAGAAAAAGCTGTTGAGTGTGTTTTCATATTTTTGTAGGTGTATACAGTTGGCCCAGAGTATGCACATGCAGAGGCAAGGAAGTCTCCTGTTGTTGATGGGGTTGTTATGAGAAATCCTGATGGCAAAGAAGTAAATAATTTGTTATACTCCTACCTATACCTTTTGATTTGGACGCCTTGGTACCTTGCATGTTCTGCTTGACATCTATTCACTTGAAGTTGTGATCATTGGTTTTGTGTCCGTGAAGCAGTAATTGATTGGATGAACGCTTATACTGTTGGTTTCTGGGTGAAATGATCCAAGAGTTGTTACTTACTTTGGCAGGTCAGGTATCCAGTTCTGCTTACTCCTACTGAGAAGCAGATGGCAAGAGAAGTTTGCATTGCGTTTAGGCAAGCAGTAAGTCACCTTGATCCTTTAAAAAGTATATTGGTAGTTGTTCAAACTGTCAAGGCTCTATTAATCCGCAAAAATATATCATTTGTTTCACCTACTAAGGCATTATCATCATCATCAACTTGTGATTTGTTTTGGCTGCCTTAGGAAGATGATCTGGGTAAACCAATTTTATCAATATTTCAAAGCTGGCAGCTTTTCCAAACCAGAACGTGGACGTTGCTTTTTTGTTGTTATCCATTAAGGGTTCTTGACTTTCAGAAGGAAAACAGGTCAATAGCACAATTTCAGATAATTATTGTCTACAAAAATTGCTCTGGTGCATTCCAAGTATAGGATATACATGTCATCAAACTTCTTGACATTATTTCAATTGGATTTGCCTTTTGTTTTCCTTATCTTTTTGCATAGAAAACTGTGAGTTGTTGAGTTCTTTGGTGTATGTAGATTGGTTACCAAAGAGTTCAAGAATTCTGTTCTTCTGGCCACAAAGGAAAGGAGAAGAAATTCGAGTATTAGTATTTTATAACCTGGTTTGCTTAGTTTAATGTAGCATTACCTTTTGTAAGAGTACCAACAAACAACTTTTGTCATCCATTGCGAAAAATTTGGGTTGAGTGGAATTCACCTCATCAATACACACACATGCACATGCACAAGAAAGACCATTCTTCTTTGAAGAAATCATTTTATCTTTAAATAATGTGCATCTGTTCATAAACTTGCAGGTTTGTGGGTTTGATCTCTTGCGTTGTGAGGGGCGTTCATATGTCTGTGACGTGAATGGATGGAGTTTTGTAAAGAACTCCTACAAGTAATTCTTCTTAATTTGATTCTTTGAAAATCTAATTATGGGAGTTTTATCATTACACAACATTCAATTAAATACACGCCTCTTTTTTCCTCCCTGTTGTTTAGGGTATGGTACGGATAGCAATTGTATGACAGAAATATGAACAGTATACCTGACAAAGCCTTTCATCAGTAAATGAGCACGGGCATCTTGTTTCATTATGTTTTCATTCCGGCTTCTTTTTTGCATCTCCTTGTGTAATGTACTCATGCAACCACAAAATGTGTCTTGTTTGTATTTTATATTTTAACAAAGATCAACATTTTGCTGCCCACTTCCAGTAAACACCCCCCCTCCCCGGCCCTTCTTTTCCAAAATAAATAAATAAATAGTTGTGCTGCCCTTGAAGAATGTATCCTTTCTAGGGAAATAATCCAAATTGTGACCAAAAACAAAGGTTAAAATCTGTCATAAGTAAGACAAAACAATCATTTCATGCATTGTGGACATATTGCTTGATATATTTCTTATTCATAGAAGTGGATTTATAATTTCCTGTCAAAATTATATTGGAGCAGTAATGTGCAAAGTCAATTTGTTGGTGCTTTCTGGAAGTTACATAAGACCAACAGTATGCAAAGTCAACGTGTTGATATATCCTTATATACACACACACACACAAGGGCTAATAACCACAAGGCTGAGGGTTCAAATCCAACGGCATTCACTTTCTGCTAGTAGTCCTAAAAATTAGGTCTGTACCCAATCTAATCTTCTTAGCATCCTCAGTTAATGGAAACCTAATTTAGTTATGATGTTTCTTTAGCATTTGGGTCTTGAGATCATGCTTAATACATGCACTATTGTAGTTGAATGACGAATTCATCAGTTCAGTATTTGGTTCATTTGCCATCTTTTTGAAAAATCCATCTTGCAGTAATGTGATTCTGAATTAACACTTGTCTATATTGGCATCAGAATCTTTTTACTACCTGTATGAAGGTTTCATTTCTTTTTCTTTATCTTTGGTTATTTTTATCATGTTTATATTCATGTCAAAGGCCAAGTGGTTAAATCATTGTTGGACTGGTTTTATGAGAGCTGGTTCTTTTTGGTTCAACCTCTCGTCTAATTAAAGGCAAGTGTGTATATGCACAATTTGAACCTGTATTCTTGTATGCTTTGCTATGTTTCTGATTACGTGGTGCTTTCATTTTTTTTGGCTGTCAAATTTAGTTATTGTGTCTCAATTTGCTGACTACAGGTATTATGATGATGCCGCTTGTGTTTTGAGGAAGATGTTTCTAGATGCAAAAGCTCCCCATCTTTCATCCACAATTCCACCAATTTTGCCATGGAAGGTCAATGAACCAGTTCAACCTTCTGAGGGACTAACACGTCAGGGAAGTGGGATTATAGACACATCTGGGCAGTCCGAGGAGCTACGCTGTGTAATTGCTATTATTCGTCAGTAAGATATATACCCTGCTGTTTTCCTCAATTTTTGTGGCATTTTTTTCCCTCTATAATGATGGCTTATTTGATCAGTGGTGATAGAACTCCCAAACAGAAAGTGAAGTTGAAGGTTACTGAGGAAAAGCTGTTAAATTTGATGCTGAAATACAATGGGGGGAGACCTAGATCCGAGGTGTTTCTTTTCTCATCATTATCCTTTTAATGTTTGGTCAGATATCTATATTTTTTAACAAGAACTAATTACCTTCTCTCTCGGTCTTCACAGACAAAACTCAAAAGTGCAGTACAGTTGCAAGATTTGTTAGATGCCACACGAATTCTAGTACCGCGTGCTAGGTATCAATCCTTTTGCAAATAATGATTTAACTTTAAATTATATGGCTCATTTTCAGCAAACTCTGTCCCCCTTTTTGAAGTTTATCCCACAAAGAGAAGTTTGAATAGTTTTATGCATGACTTGCTCAAATTTCATAGTTGAAAAAGGTGGGAGTGTTTGGCTATTTGTAGACCCCTGTAGTGAGCCATGAGTCATGACCTTCTGAAACCTTTTTAAATTTTTTCTGATCATCTGTATCTATGAAACAATAAATGTGTAGAATTGTTTGGACATGTGAAGATCAAATCTTGGCATAGTTTATGGAAAAAATATATTTTAATTCAATTGTTGATGTTTTTTTTTTTTGAAGACTGCCTAAAATTGTAGAAAACAAGGTTGACAAAGTTCGATCAAGAAACTTATACAAAAAGAAACAGAAAAGAATTATTTTATAAATACACATCAAGGTGACTTTAAAAGTTAAAGGTGGATATAAAAAGAAAATGGAAGCCAAGTACACTGTGTGTAGGCCTCGGGCAGAGCCAAGAACTGGTTTAAGAGTGGTGGGCACAATCTTTTTTTTATATATGTTACTAAAATGATAAAGATCTTAAATCTAATTTCGATAAAAATCTAAGCTACCCAGAAAAAAATAAAAGCCTACGGTCAAAGTAATTTCTAAATGAAAAGGAAAAAAGTCATTACCAAACAATATTACTTTTAACCAAATATTTATGTTAAAATTACCTGGCAATTACACTTGATTCACAAAAAAAAATCAAAGTAAATCAAACTCTATTGAAGGTGTCTAGATATAATTTTACAAAATTGTCTTTCTAGGATTGATTGTGCCCCCCTTTCCACACACGCGCTCCCACACACATATAGTAGCTAATTTTTTTTTAAATTTAGAATATGTTTGTCTTGAACATCGATTTGTCTCGAGCCACCCTGACTTTAACTTTTTTTTCTCCTAATTAATAAAGGTAAAGCGACACATTTATATTAATTATGTCATATTTCATAATAAAAACTCATTAAATAAAAAAAGTCAAAAAGTTATTGGGTGGGGCTATTCCTAATCCACAAATATCCATTCCCATCCCATTAAAGTTTTTATAATCAGACTACTAAATCCACCCCTTTTATATCTACCCCATTTTAACTAAATTCATCTTATACTATCCACACTCCTTTAAAATAAGTCCACCTTCTATTTTCTTAAAACTAGGGCTTCATTCACTATTTCCTCTCATATTTCCTACACGAAAGAGCTTTTTCAATATGGATTTTCTTAGTAAGATACATGTTAGTAATAGTTCTCGGTTTAATTTTTCGTTTGATTTCATGTGCGCTGTGATTTCATTTTTGATTCTGTCAAGCTTAATTATTTTTGATTAAGAGTTTACATACATACATACATATATATATATATAGAGAGAGAGAGAGAGAGACTAGCGTAAACATAGAAGCTCTGCATTGTAGCCTCTAGCGGATACTTTTTATGTAGACCGTTAGATTACAATCTAACGATCACCAAACAAAGATACTCAAAATTAATTATCTAAACCTACCAAATTTAGTTCTTAACTAAATAAGAAATGTCTACAACATATTAATTGTGATCTATTTATATTAGGAAAGTCTATTTATTTTTGTGAAACTTAATATTTTAACATTAATAAATAATTTTTTTGACCTTTTTTACATATGTCATGAGTTGACCCATTTTGTGGGTTCAATTAGGGTACATCATTGTTGGGTGGGTTTTACTTAATCTTTGCTCAAATTATCAGTTTGTCCTCTTATTTTTTTGCCCAAATTATTAGTTTGTCCTCTTTATTTTTCTCTCTTTTGCTTCTAATCAACCCAATTTATACTAGAAGGCTTGATAACGTTGATGTATCTAAGTGACAAAGTTAAATTAAAATTAGGATTGTTTATCAAAATGCATTGCCACCATCCTTTTATTATAAAACCCAACATGAAATTGATTTGTTTATGCTCCAATTCAAAATTAAAAAAAAAAAAAAATTGATTTGTTCCTACTGCAAATTGAACACATAAAAAATCTAAAAAAGTAATTGAGAACTATCTTGTTATATAATCTGCGTATGAAACAATAATCAAGTTAAAATTTTTAAAAAATCCGACCCTACTTTTATTCATAGGGATGCATTACAACCTAAAACCTTATCAACATGCAGTAACAATGAAGCAGCTGAAGCAATTGAAGGGAAACATGAGAGAAGATGAGTTTGATTGTGATATTTTTAACCCAAACATGTATAATAAATTAGATGGGAAAAGATAAAAATTATTCGGGTCATTGGGTCGATCCATTAATATTTAAAAGTAGTTTGTATTTTTTTTATATTAACCTTAAGACTTTCCTAATAGGACTAGATCACAATTAATATGTTAAAATATTAAGTTTCACAAACCTAAATAGACTTTCCTAATATGACTAGATAACAATTAATATGTCATAGACATTTCCTATTTAGTTAATAACTAAATTTGGTAGGTTTAGATAATTAATTTTGAGTATCTTTGTTTGGTGATCGTTAGATCGTAATCTAATGGTCTACAAAAAAAGTATCCATCAGAGACTATGGTGTAGACCTTTTATGATCACGCTATATACACACACACACGTTTGCAACAAGAAGGAAAAATGAAGTATTGTAAATTCAATAGAAGGTATACTCAATAGATTTTTTTGATCCAATTGTGTCTATTCAAAGAAAAGTTAATATTATTACCCACTCTATAGCAACACAATTTGCTGCTCTTCATGTTAATTTAACTGAGGTTGTTTTGATAGAAGCTATAATAAGTTTGGATAATGTACAGATACAGAAAGTGTTATACTTATCTTACTTATCAATCCATATTGAAAAATTTATTTTGTGTAGGGTATATGAGAGTAGATAGTAAATGAAATCCTAGTTATGAGAAAATAGAATATGAACTTGTTATTAAAGGGGTGTGTATTGCATGGAGTGAACTTAGTTGAAATGGGGTGGGTATAGACAGTGGCGGATCCAAAGTGGGGGGTAGCTGCCCCCACTAGAATTTTAAAAATTTTTGGGGAATAAATATAATTTTGAAAATTTTAAAATTTATTAAAGATTGGCCCCCACTGAATTTTTTTTAAAAAAATTTATAGGTAGTTATGATATTTTGATAAATATATGGGTCACTTATAAATGTCAAAAAAATTCCTTTAAAAGGCTAAATGCCTACATTATGTGTTAGATTGAATTATTTTGATTTGGTGTTTTGAATAGTTTTATTGTGATTGGTTAAGTAATTCCTATACTAAAGTTTAGTTTAATAGAGTAGTTATAGTTTACATTTGTTTCAATTGGTTGTTAAAATTTAACTATATATGATTGAACCAATTTTTTTGGTTCAAAATTTTTGTTCGGTGATTAGGTCTTATAAATAAATTTATAGTGATTTTTTTTTGTGGGTTTTTTTTGTATAGCGCTCATTTATATGAGTTGTTACTTAAATTGACGTACTATTAATGAAATTATATTTTTGTGAACATTAGTAATTTTAATATTCATATGGTTTAGGTTGTGCCCCCACTGGTCAAAATTTCTGGCTCCGCTCCTGGATATAGATGGGGTGGACTTAGTAGTTTGATAATAAAAGTTTTAATAGGGCGATGAATATTTGTGGGGTGGGAATAACCCCACCTAAAGTTGTTACATATAACATATATGAACAAAAAAATAAAATCAATTGTAGCTCTTATCGAAACGTGAGGCTTATTACATATATTGATGAGTTTTCATATTTTATATCAAAATCGCAAAGTTATCAAAAAAAAATTAAGAAGTGTAATAATACCACTGTAGTCCAATGGAAACAAATCAATCATCAATTGTAGAAAAATAGAGATCAAGTGTAGGTTAATTCAAAGCAATTTCACCCTAAAATGTTGAATTTAGAACCAAATAATACACAAATTTGTAAATCAATACAAATTTTAAGGGTGGCACAACAAACTATATCTAGAAAAATAACTAAAATATATATATATAAAATCAAGAAAAAAAATTTGAGGATGGGCCAATGTCCCCCTGGCCCCTATATACCTCTGCCCTTGGTAGGCCTCACACTTGGTAGAGAAAAAACCTTACACTGAATTTTGTATCCCAAGTACACACCTAACAAGACCTTTTAATAACAAAGCCTCTATGAGTTTTGGAATTGCCTTGCTTTGAAGGAAGACTGAATCTTATAATATAGATTGATATTGAATGCCCCGAGTGTCTTGAAGGAAGATGAGCTCAAGGGAGCGGAGAGTCTGGGTCTCGAAGATTTCTCTTATGTTTTGGCATATGCAGGGGTCAATCGAGGCAACTTCTGCATTTTCTTTTCTGGATGCATCTTTCTGGAACAGACTTTGGCTTTGCCCCTTATGCATGAAACAAAAGTTTAGAGGTGATACCCTCACACCCCTCCAACAAAAAAAAAAAGTTCAGAAAATCAAATACATTAAGAACAATCTATTTTGTAACTGTTTGAGTGTAATAATCTACCTTCTTGACTTGTCATTTTCTGCTAATTTTCAAGTAATATACATTTCTTCAATGTAGCTCGTGCATTTTACTCGCTTATTCAGTTTTATGTTGAAGCAAAAGTAATATCTTTTACCTGATTTTGCAAATTTTAATATAATTAGAACTGGTCGGGAAAGTGATAGTGAAGCAGAAGACATTGAGCATGCTGAAAAACTTCGTCAAGTTAAAGCAGTTCTTGAGGAGGTCCATGTTTAATTAGTTTCTTCTAAACTGTGCATCTTTGAATTCAAGTTTTATTGTGGTTTACATGTTCTTTCTTTATGATCATGTTGAGTTGGATTTACATGTAGTGAGTGGAATTTCTCTACTTTGCATTTAAATTTTTGTGCATATCTTTCTGTAGAATCGGATTCTAGGAGATGGTAACTGGTGTAGTTGAGCTTAATTGGAAGTTGTGGTACATTTGGATAAGGATTTTCCGAATTCTAAGAAGATTAGATTTTAAAATTTACCATGTTTTTAGGGAAGCAAATTCTGCAGCAGATTTCTTGTCAAACAAGGGGATCCTTGACCAACAACCAAGGATCTATCTTAATTGGAAAGATTTTCCTATAGATGGAAGGTTCCATCTTTTGCGGGACCCATGGAGTTTTTAATCATAGGTGAAAATCTAGTAGGCATATAAAGAAAATTGCCAAATTGCTTCAGGAATCCTTAGGATCTTTTTTATTTTTTAATGCCATCTTTAGTTATTTTTCCATTGAATTATTGTTTTAGATTGCATAAAGGGGTAAGGTATTATGTGCCCCCTAGCTTGATGTAATTTGAATTTATTAACAAAATTCACCTCATCTTAACGAGTTTTTTTTTTTTTTTAAAAAAAGAAAACTTTTTATCTCAGTTTTGCACCAAATACGAAAACTTTTACTGTAATTAATTATTGCTTTCTTACTTTTCAAATATCTAAATGGAACCAACTTATTACTTTCTTGTAAGTGTCATTCTCTGGTCTTCCAAAAAAGAAAGAAAAAAAGAGTTGTAAACAAGACTGCTTTAAGACCTTTTAGGTCTATTGATTTATTTAAATGGGTAATGGAAATTTAGGCAATGAAAAAATTTTCTTATAAATTTCATTCTTTTCGAACTGTAGAGTGAGGTTTTCTTAACAATTTTTATTTGGGAAATTTTATATCTTACTCAGGGTTAGGATGAAAATAATATTAAAGGTTAGGTTAGGTATGTACCTTGTCCAGTGCACATGGTTGCCACCACTGTGGGGTTTAGGATTTATGCAACCTTACCTTGCTTATGGAGAGGCTGTTTCCTTAACTCTAATTTGTGATGCTTTGTTTACAATGGAGCAAACTTACGCTGCATCAAGGCCCACTCTCGATTAAATAATCATGAGCTATCTTCCCTTTTTTCATGTCTTGGCATATCGTGCATGAAAATGTATTTAGTGAGAAAGAAGAAACAATATGTAGTCGAAGAAATAAGAAACATGATTTGATTGGCGGGTTTTAGAACAAGTATTTTCTCCTTAGGATTCCACTCAGTATGCTCAAATGTTTGATTAGGCGTAAGAACAAAGTATCCCCCCCCCCCCTCCCAATGGGTACACCTGGTTTGCAACCTATATCTTTTATTTGTTTTTGTGTTTTTTCTAGTTAATTGTTGAAGGAAAGATGCTTCATGGTATTGCATGCGAATGTGTATGCTTTCTTACACAGCTCTCACATTTGATTGAGTTTTAGGCAGTTTACATGCATCGAAGCAAAGGTGCTTGTGATTCTATTTGTAACATGACTTGCCTGAAACTATGTAGGTCATACGCGATGTGAAAATCCTCTAAGTTCTAGCTGAAATTTTATGAAACTTTTCTCTATTTCCTTGTATGCACCGCTGTTTATTAAGTTGTAAATATTTTGGCCTCCAGGGGGGACATTTCTCTGGCATATATCGGAAGGTTCAACTCAAGCCATTAAAGTGGGTCAAAGTTGGAAAAAGTAACGGTGAAGGTGAAGAAGAACGACCTGTTGAAGCCCTAATGGTTCTTAAATATGGTGGTGTTCTTACGCATGCTGGCAGAAAGCAGGTGTTTAATTTTGCGGAATGCGTATGACTGTATTTTCACCTGTTTTGCATTTACGCTCAGAATTATGTTTATCGTCTCTGGAAATTTGTCAGTGTAGTACATGTTGGGTACTGAATATCATGTAACATTAATCCTTTCATTGTGTCTATCCCACCTTAAATCTGCTTGCCCTCCTTCCTTTTTTGGCAGGCTGAAGAACTGGGCAGATATTTTCGAAACAATATGTATCCAGGTTAATATTTTTCACTTTTGACTTCTATGAATGATCGGTTTCCTCTGGTGTGGTAACATCCATTCTTTCAAGAAGAAGATAGATTATCTTTTAGATTATTGTTAGAGAACATAAATCTTTATGCTTGAAAGAGGTCTAAGAAAAGGTTGGAATGATTTGGTGAAGGAAGCTAACTTGAAGTTTGTTTCTCCTCCTTCTGATTTAACATAAATATCAGGGTCATCGTGGGTCATTGTATTACCTGGATATTGTCTTTTTTCTCTCCCATCTAATGGGTCTCGGTCTGAGTATGGATTATTGATCCTAAATATGTTCTGTCATGTGCTGGGCCCCTTGAATGGGGCATTGGACTCTGATTTTCCATGTAAAGAAAGATAAGAAAAGCTGCTGATTATTATTTAATTTTTTTCCAGCAGTAACATGATTATTTTGAATAGACATTTGGTTCATACAATGCATCTGCAATGTGACAAGAAGTTGGAGTAATTTTCACGATTCGCTAGCAGCATGGATTACTCTATGAAAACAGATTTTGGTAAAGTAGTTTTGTTGATATGGAGTATGCTTAGATTTGTTTCGGAATAGTTGGGATTTTTTTTTGTCATTGCACATATTCAGACAAAAAGAGATAGCAAGGAGATTTTTGGGGCTGAAAGCAATTGATGAGAAATAAATTCATGACAAGAAGCAGCTGACTTTTCCAAAGCCTGGATTCTACGAGTTTGGTGTAGTGCTAGCATAGATCTGTATGACTTACAGGAACTTTCTTGTTGAAGAAGCACATTTTTTGTCCTTAAATTTTTTTTGGCAGGGAGGATACCTTTTTCTAAGTTGCTCCTTTTTGGGGTTGTTTTTATATCTAAATATTTGGTTTCATCGTGAGTCCATAGAACATAGTGATATGGCATACTTATTTGTATGTAGTAAGCATAAGTAAGCAGTATAGTACTTCCACTGGTCTTCTTGCTCATCTTTATCGAACATGTTATAGGTTGAACATGTTAATGTCTTCCCTATCCTGAAAAATTTTCAAAGCCCCACTTTTTTAAGTGGTGGTTTTTCACTTCGAGATAACGTGAAAAAGTTCCCCAGCTTCTGTAATTCCTTTCTGTAGGACCAAAAATTTGTTCTCATGGTGATTTAGTTGCTAATTTTCTTATGGTTGCTTGTTCTCTTTGGTTTTGGTTTTCAATCTCAGGCGAAGGTACCGGCCTGCTTCGCCTCCACAGCACATATCGTCATGATCTTAAAATATACAGCTCGGATGAGGGTCGCGTACAGGTATAGCCCTGGTGTATACGTTGGTGTATTTAGTTTATTGTTCAGGTTCAGTTCTGTATTCTTCAAAATTTTAGAATCTTTAGATCCTGTAATGTTGTTTCCCTGTTTTCCCGTTTTATATGTTCAATTGCCCATCATGTTAGTAACCTTTGAATTTGGGTTGCTTATGAACTTGGCTGTTCATTTAATATCTGTTAACAGATGTCTGCAGCTGCATTTGCCAAGGGCCTCCTGGATTTGGAAGGACAATTAACACCAATCCTGGTTTGTATCTTTGTTTTCCCGAAGGATTTATCTGCTTGTTCTCTTGGACTTTATACGACCGACATGACTGAGATGGTCAATTTTTAAAGGTTTCACTGGTTAGCAAGGACTCTTCTATGTTGGATGGACTTGACAATGCCAGTATTGAGATGGAAGAAGCAAAGGTTTTTTGGTTCCTCTACCTGCGTTCCACTATTATTTGTTTATATAAAGAGTCAAAAATCAAATCCTAAATTGGTTGAAGCTATGATATGCCCACAAACTTTACTACGATCGCAATTTGATTATAATACGCTAAAAGCATAAGGATGAAAACATATTTGTAACCAATCTAAGGGTGACTTTAATTGGGTTCGAATCTGATTGGTAGTAGATATTAGGAAGGTATGATATGCTGAAAACCTTGACTAAGATCACAAATTGAGTAGAGCGTGCCTTGTGGCAGCCCATTTTTTTGGTCCATTACTACTATTATCCAAATACTCCTGCAGGAAAACTTAATCATTTTACTATCCTAGCCTTAATGCTTTATTAAACACAATAAAATATTAAATACATTCTCAATTCCACTCCCTCGTGTTCTAGTTTTTTTGTCTTGGAGTTGAGCCAAATCCTAGTCTCGTGTCGTTGGAATATTTTTTTTTAATGCAACATTGTATTATTGGATCACAATATTACCATGGGCCTTTTTAGGTGTGCTGGAAGTTGTCAGACAGTACAGTACATGTTTCTGGTATTAGTGAAGAATTTCAATGCATCTCTAAGTTATTCTAACATTTCTTTCTGGTCAGGCTAGGTTGAGTGAGATAATAGTTTCTGGAGCAAAGTTATTTAGCAACAGACCATCTGGAAAACCTTGGATGGTCGATGGGGCTGGACTTGCGTCAAATGCTTCTGATCTTCTACAAAAATTGGTAAAAGTCTCTATGGATTGCCTACCAAGTTGTGGAAATCACAATTCTTAATTGTGAGGGTCACTGTGCTTTTTACACTAATTATTAATTAATATGAGTTGACAACACGCACTATTCTTTATATTTATGCTCTACCTAGATACTGTTCCCATTTCTCAATTGGTTTGCTTCAAATACCGAGATTTCAACAGAAATTTTAGGCCTAGCATATATATAAGCAGTCCTTGTTTTTACTTATCAAAAAAGAAAGAAAAAGTAAAGGAGGTCTTTATTTTTGTTAACCTTTTTAGTTATGTTTCTAACTTTGTATATGTTTCAAATAGGTCAAATTGACTAAGAAGGTTACTGAACAAGTGAAACTGCTTGCTAAGGATGAGTATGAGCAACTTGCAGAGACAGGCTCATATAATGTAATTCTTCCATATGATCAAGCAAAGGCACTTGGGAAGACAAATATCGATGTAGATCGTATTGCTGCCGGATTACCTTGTGGTAGTGAGGGATTCCTTCTGATGTATGCTCGGTGGAGAAAACTTGAGAGGGACTTGTATAATGAAAGGAAAGAGTAAGTATATATCAGACACTGAGCATTTCTGAAGATTAGAAACTAACCAGTGAGCATTTTGCTTGCTTCTGACAATTTTTCGCAAAATTCAAATTGATTTTGATCACGAAAGATTTAATTGTTAAAACCAATGTTATAGTCGCTAAATGTGATGGAATTTTCATTATTGACAAGCAGTTTCACAACATTCTTGATTTATTTGCAGACGTTTTGACATAACACAAATTCCAGATGTTTATGACTCATGCAAGTAAGTAAGATACCAACCATTGTATTAAATGCATGGTTCGTGGAAAAATATCATGTCTGTAACAAAGTGTCCCATCGTCCTTTCTAGACTACTATAATTGTGTTGCCAAATCCAAAGATTTTATTGCATAATTACCCTCCTGATGGAGATTCAAAGATGAATATTGACACCAAATAGAATTCTTATGGGGGAATGATGTTGTAATGATCCTTGTGGTCTGATCTTAGTTTGTTCGAGTGGGTGCATTTTTCATTTGATTTTTTCTGGGGGTGCTATTTTTTGTGGGTAAATGTGCTTTTGGTTTATTTTTTAAGGTAGCTTGTTTTTGGTTGGTTTGGTTCCTAGATGCATCACAGTATACAGTTTCTCTGGAACATAGTTGGGTTAGTATGTCCATGCACATGGAGGATAACATATGTACCATTGGATGCAGTAAAGTTTTACTTGGTCTGCTGTTTCATTTTGTTATATCTTGCGCAGTGAACTTGAAAGTGGCTTACATTGTTCAATACTTCCATCTGCAGATGCTGATTAAGTAAAAGATATAAGACGTATCTGGTGTCTATTCTGTTGCATTTCCTGGCCATGCTTGTAATATTTTTGGTTCTTCTGAACAGATATGATCTCTTGCACAATGCACATCTTAATCTAGAAGGGTTGGATGAACTCTTCAAAGTTGCTCAGGTACAACAACAAAAAAGAAATCCTATTGCCCTCCCTCCAATGCATAGTAACTTTGAATAACGCGTCCTTGTAAACTTTCCTGCAATAGAACTAAGATATAGTGGTCAGCAGCAGTGCATGCCTTTAGCTTTGCAAGTTCATTTTTTTTTGTATACGAGAATGTGTTCTACTTACCAAAAGCATGGAAACAAAAGTATAAAATTGATGGTAGTGGCTTTACCTTGAAGACACTGTCTCTGTTTTCCTAAGTAAAAACTCTGAAGCATAGTTAAAGTTCTGAAAAATAAGAACCTCAGGCTGCAAGGAACAGATTGCAGAGAGAAGAACCTGATGTTTGGTGCAGATGCCAGGACTACAGTTTGGCTCTGTGTTACTAGAAAATGCCGGGAGATCTAGCTGACAGTATTTTTATATTGGGAAAAATATGTGTACATAAACATATCATTCTTTAGTGTGTGTTATGGAGTTTATACCATGAAATTAAGTTGATTCCTCAAGAATTTATTGGTAAATAGAATTATTAACTCAATTACTATTACTTATTAAAGTGTATATAAATTATCAAGTTACACTATGTCATCGTCATATTGAGTCTGAATGCGCTGTTGTCTTTCAGTTACTTGCAGATGGTGTTATACCGAATGAGTATGGGATCAATCCAAAGCAGAAGCTAAAGATTGGCTCAAAGGTTAACTTCCTTTTGTAACATCTTAATTCAAGTTCTATTTTGAGTTATTTTTTTATGATTTATAATATGTCATAAAATCGTGCTAAAAAAGTATGGCTTTCAAGTGCATTTGAAATTGGTGACCCTTAAGATAAGATCTGAAAGCTAGCATATGGATGAATTTACCCAAAAAAGGCTTTTGTACCTACAGGGTCTTTTAAGCACTATGGGTCTTTCAAAATCTTGAACGGCTTACTAATATTATCAATGAATTGGACATGAAGTTTGTTATTGATTCTTATGATACTTTCCTATTGTAATTTGGTGTGTATGGGATGCAATAGTGGTAATGTATTCATTTCGTAGATTAATGTCGCATCTTCTCTTATAGATGCATACGTGCAGCAATGGCACACAAGTGCATTTATCTCACCTTGTTTTCTGGCATCTCAGATTGCTCGCCGTTTGTTGGGCAAAATTTTGATTGATCTGAGAAATACTCAGGAAGAAGCAATTAGTGTTGCCGAATTAAAGGGTAATCAAGACCAACACTCAACGTTCACCAAAACTGGGACAGAGGATACAGATTATCAGTCAAAGACTGTCACTAAGAATGAAGATGCAAGTGAAAAATCAATGGATCAGGATGATGATGATGATAAGGAGACCAAATACCGCTTGGATCCAAAGTAAATATATCATCCTTTTGCTATATCACATGCATTCTCAAATATTTCTTCATATGAACAAATCATCTTTTTTTTGTTTTGTTGGCTATACTAAATCCACTTATCTAGAAAACTTAAGGTAACATTAGAAGGCATCCTTGTTCTCAATTAAATTTTGTATTTCCTATTTTTTTTGGTATTTATTTTGGCTGGGTTTTATGTTGATAATTCCTAAGTTTTTGTCAGGTATGCTAATGTGAAGACACCAGAACGACATGTCCGGACGCGCCTTTACTTTACATCAGTGAGTATTTTTTGTCATCACTATGTTATTTTCAGCAAGTTTTATGTTACCATGTACTACATAAATTTCTGCTTCCAGCTCAATTTTGCCTAATCTCTCTTAAAAGATTAGATCAACATTTCAATACACGAGAGAAATCCAGAAATTAGCATTTAGCAGTAACAAGGTTATTTTAGGGACAGAATGCAGAATTTGATGTAGACATAAAGGACAAGTGTGGATGGGCATCTGGGTTGGGAACTGGGAATGTATATTTAAAAAATGCAACCTAGAGCTGCTTTGTTAACACTCATGTACCAACTTTGTGATACTAAATTCGGCTGCCTTCTGGTTGATCTTTACACGACTTCTGGTTTTCTGAATGTCATCACACAGGTAAGTATTATTTCATGCAGTGTACATAAGTTTGGATCAACGTAAAAGCTGTTTATTAGTTTTGCTTCATTGCGTTACTTTACAATTAATTTAACCCAAAATTGTTGACTTAGTTATTTGTGTACATAATGGCTTGTAATGTTCCCTCTCTAAAATATGTCCTTTCTGTATGTTTCTATCGTTGCCTTGATGTTCAATTCTGCTAATATTTATGAAAAAATAATATCAAACCTGTCATTCCAAACTTGCCGAATGTCGATTCAACTCAATCAAGCCTTGTCCCAACATAAATTCGCCGATCATAATGAATTTTTTTCATTTTGTATGACTCATGTACAAACAAGATTGGCTAGCACAGATGCCACTGAATGTACCATCTAAGCAACACACACACACACACTCACTCTTACTTGAGTCTACATGTCTGTACTTATGTGTTTGTGTGTCGCACCATTTTTTTCGTGCACGTATAGATTCATGCATGCTTGTTTGCATATCAAATTGTGGCTGTACTGCAGCAAATTATATCATATGATAGTCATCCACTCATTTTAACTGTGTTGTCATCCAACTGTTTCTAGACTCAATCCACTTACACCTTGAAGATGACCCTATCTTGCGAAACTGTTATAAATCATGTAGTTTCTTGACTCAGATGCGAAACTGACCAGCATCATTTTAAAAGTTCAGTACCTGAATAGAAAGGAAAGGATTTTAGTTTCAACCAGATTCACCAGGAATATCAAACACCCTCTTCTTTATGATTAGTCAATAAAAGCATGTCATTGTGGCATTACAATAGATCAGGAAGTGCCATGGACACTATTTTCTGGAGCACAAAGCCTATAAGTCTTGGTATGGTCGGGTAAGTTTTGCTCATTTGGTTGCCATGCTTTTGTGCAAGCATCTCAAGTTTTTGTGATTGATCTGAAGAACCTTGTGACACATGATTTCATGCGCACAGTGCAAAGAATCCAGCCACCAGATGGCGAATGGTGAGTTTGTCATGATGTACATGGAGAGGCTGGTTATTTGGTGCGAATGGGGAAATTATTTGTGGGGGTCTGAACCTGATGTCCCTTATGCAATAGTACTACTATATATGTACCCACAACCATTGCCTGCAGTTTTCCATCCAAGTGATGGCAACGTTACCATTTTATGTTAATCTAATTCTTCAACCAGAAAAATCATACCATGGTGATAAGTTGTTGTTCTGATTTTTCCATTTAAGATATACAAAACTTCAACCTATGCATATGATAGCAGGTACACATTGGTCAGAAAATTAAGATATCAAAATTTTATGGCAGTAAATTCTCCAAAGAAAGGAAGAAGAAATTTTATTATATTGTAGAGTTCCTGTGTGCCAGTGGTGAAGAGGCCATCTCCACAATAAAGCAATTTAACTACTGAAAATAAATGAACAGAATAAAATAAGTTATTCTACTCTTCTGTCTGTAAAAATATCCCAGGTGAATCTACTTTAAAAATTCCACTGACTAGCTTTGGTGTGAGGTCCCTTTCTCTGAATTCACAATTTGGCTTCATGCATATCAATTAACTGTAAGAGGTAAATTACATATATGGATTGTCATCCTTTGTTGGGGACCATAAAGTTCTTGACAAGTAAATACCACTCAACTATTCTTTGTCTTGTTTTTAAAGTTTCTTTTCACTTGTAATTTGGATATTTATGCTTATCACCAGTTTCATTTGTTTTCCTGTAATTTTTCTTTATGGTTATCATAATTCATCTTTATGCTTGCACACTGTCAGGAATCACATATACATTCCATGATGAATGTCCTCCGTTACTGCAACTTGGATGAATCTCTTCAAGGGGAGGCTAGCCTTGTTTGTGATAATTCTCTGGAGCGCTTGTTCAGAACCAAGGAGCTTGACTACATGAGTGGTATTGTGTTGAGGATGTTTGAGAACATAGAGGTTGGTATTTTTGCTTTGAGTTTGAAAAAGAAAAATGGATGCTGTATAATGCTTTCTTTAAATTTTCTCTTTGGATCTTCCGTTTATGTTGTTAGCTATAATTGGAGAATTGAACTTTTTCTTTCCTCGCGGAAGTGGTAAATTCACATTTTGCAGATTCACAATATATAGAATGGTATCACTTTTCGTGACAAATACAAGTAATGGACATACTGTTGGACAAGTATAAAAGCTATATCAGAGTGAAAAAGATGCTATTTTTCTATTTTGTTCTTTTTTATGTGTTGCTGTTTTATTTTTGTTTGGTGTTTTTTTTTGGGTTGGGGGGGGGTTGGATTTGTGATTTTTGCAGCAATCCTATTTCTCTAACCTTAACCTTATTCAATGTAGATACTTACAATATGAAAACAGACAATGTGCCCTACTTTCTTTGTACTTTTTCAACCTGAAAATATGAGTTGTTTAGCTGCAAGTGCTGCTTTATCAAACACTTTGTTCTATTAAGGGTTGGGGGGAGATAGAGGTTGGCAACTTTTTTACCCATGCCCTTTCATTACTTGTGCCCCCCAGGAAAAACTCTCTAGATGAATAAATAAGATATGGCTTAACTACTTGCTGTGATATTTGGCATTGAGTTGTACATCCTATCCCGGGGGTTATAGAGATATTGCCAGCAACACAATTCGTGGTTGGCTTTTCTAATTGGGTTAGATTCGTAAGTTAATTTAAGTGGTGGCATTGATGCAAAAGTGGTCATGTGCTCTTTATGTGGGAATTTCTTGGAGTGCTTTTCACCTGAAGGCTGAGAGGAATGTAAACAGAATATCAAAATGAAGAATGATGCTTTTGAGGCTCCAAAACCCTACTATACACACTGTCTATGTCATTTTGTTTAGAACTAGGATTATTTGCAAATAGTAACCACTTGGTTATACATACATATAGGATTAAATGGTCATTCTCAAGAATCGACAAATTTTCTTGATGATCTAAAATTTATATCCATTGCGTTATTTAGGTCCTTTATCAATGGTTATATATCTACAAAGCTATCTTGCCCAGCCTAATGAGTTTCTGAAATTGAATTCCAGGTGGCTTTAGAAGATCCAAAAAGGTTCCGCGTAGAGATGACTTTTAGTCGTGGTGCAGATTTGTCCCCGTTGGAGGTAATTCATCTTGAATTAAAACACCCTTAGCTCCCAGTGTTCGAGACACTGGCATTCATGACAGAAGATGGATCTTGATAAGCATTCTTATATGTGATACTCAAGAGTTATCATTTATCTAGGATAATTGAATCGGAGCAAATGCAACTGATTATCGATTATTTATTTAGGTTCTACCCGTCTTTCATTTTGCTTTGCAGAAGAACGACAGTGAGGCTGCTTCATTGCATCAGGAGCACACATTACCGATAATGGGTCCAGAGAGGCTGCAAGAAGTGGGGTCATATCTAACATTAGAGAAGATGGAGAAGATGATTCGCCCATTTGCCATGCCAGCAGAAGATTTCCCCCCACCATCAATCCCCCAGGGATTCTCAGGCTACTTCTCCAAAAGTGCAGCAGTGTTGGAACGCCTGGTAAATCTTTGGCCCTTCAACAAACATGGAGCTGCTAATGGGAAGTAATAAGTAACTTCACCTTTTTCTCTTCCTTTTTTGTCTTTTTTTTTTGCTTTTTGTGGCATTCATATCCTCGGCTGCTTGGACAAAGCAAAATGAGTTTTGAGGTTCTCTCAAGGAATTTTGGAACAATTAACAAACTTAATTAGGATGAACAAAAAGAAATTGAGTGTTGAGGTCGCTTGGAGGAATTTTGGGACACATAGCAAATCTTAACAATAGGTAAATCTGGAGGAGAGCCATCCTGATGATGATGCTTTAACTCCAGAAAATCTTAACGCCAACCTCTTTTAGCATTCATTAGAAAGTGACCCTAAGACACTTTCAATTGTCCAATGTTCCAGATCGCTGTTGCTATTAATACAACTAGTTTCTATTTGATAATGCACGGACAGATGTGTTGCAATAAAAATAATGCTTTGTTTGGTAGGGTAGATGGAGTGATGAAAAGTATGAGCAATATAATTTCTGTCATTCAAGATAGAAATTCTATTATTATTATTGTGTTTGATAGGAATTATAGAAAATATGAAGAATTGATTTTTTTTGTAATTAGTATGGATAGAAAAGTGAAAGGAAGGAAGAAATATAGAGGCATATTTTAACATCGTGTCTATATATTGAATTAATATGTACATGATATATAATAGATGAATAAGATATATCTATATAATAAAATAGTTTACAATTTAAATCTCAACAGATAAATAAATAAATCGTTTTAAATTTTATTTTAAAGTTAATTTAATGGTTAATATTAATATTCTAAATTTAATAATAAAAAAAAAGTCTTTAAGAGTGTATTTGGAGTGATTTTTTAAATTATTTTTAGAAATTATTTTTTATATATACTTAAAAAAATAGAGTTTGAAAACGTTCCATCACTATCTCTACCATCGTTGCGATTGCCACCACCGCCTTCGCTCTCGCCATTTCCACTGTCACCTCGCCGTTTCCACTGTAACCACCATTGTCATCGTCGTTGTCACCACCACCGCTGTCATCGTCACCACTGCTATCACTATTGTCGTCACCACCCCTACTGCTATCGCCACGCCCACCACCACCAGTGCCACTCCCATTGCCTCCACTGCCACCATCATTGTTGTTGTCGTCGCCACCATCATCGTTGTTGTCGCCGCCACTACAGTTATTGTCACTCACCACAATCATCATCGTTTTTACCACCACCATTGCTGCTCATCCCCTCTCACCCCTATTTTAAATTTTGTTATCACTTCTCTATGTTTGTGATTTTGATTTTGGATATGAATATAATATGTTTATTTTTTATTACTCTATGCCTTCAGGCACAAACAATAACTAGTTTATATATAAAATATCATATTTGATAAAAAAAAAATGAGAAGTATAAAAAAGTAGAAGAATTAACCTATCTTGTATCTTACTAAAAATTATTCTTCTTAGTTATGTGGGTTTAAATGTCTATTATTTATCTTTATATCTCTAATATATGCATATTAGTCATAACTCGTTCTTAAAAGTATGATGAAATATAAAATTTGAGTATCAAAAAATTAATCCTATTATATCAAATAACAAATTTTTATTTCTTTGTTTGTTTCATTGAATCATTTAAAATTAATTTTTACTTATTATTTTTAAAAAAATAGCGTTCAAATTTTCTCAAAATGTATAATTTGACAAAAATGCTTTCAACACGTGTACACTATTATGTACAGATAATGTATGAAATAAAAATTATGTTAAATTATAAATTAATTAAATGTTAAATGAATGAACATGTGATAAAATTGAATGATGTGATATTTTTAAAGGGGAAAATGTATTCATAAAAATTGTGTTAAATTATAAATTATTTAAATGTTAAATGATTGAATATATAATAGAATTGAATGATGTGATATTTTTAAGGGAAAAAATGTACGTGAGATAAACTTTCAAACTTCTGTGTGCTTTATTATATAAATTTTTAATTTATCTATTACGTCTTATGTACACATTAATATGCATTTATATTTTTTCATAATTTCACTTTTCCATCCATGCTAAAAAAAATAAATTAATTTTTGTTTATTTTCATCTCTCTTATCAAACATAAAGGAGAATAACTGAATAAGGATTCCGATCATAAATGATAGAAAATATATTCCTTATATTTTTTGTCTTTTTATTTTTTATCCACTCTACCAAACACAATAAGGGATGTAAAGATAAATAATATATATTTTAATACACATAATTAACTTTTTATTCATTTTTTTCCTAATTTTTGAGAGATGGATTTTGTTGAGTTGAAAGGAATTTTAATCCTTTCACTTTTTTATCTTTCTCATTTTTTTTACTAAATATAATGTTTTATTTATTTTTATAACTTTTTAATATAGTCTTCTATTTTTTCCTCTTTTTTGCTTTTTCATCATGTCATACCAAGCAAAGTTTAAGATAAATTAAATGAAATTACTATTTTATTATGTCGCTCGTAGGCTTAACAGACACAGCCCCTAGGCACAAGCATTTAACTTGGAAATGTTAGTGTCTATATATTGTTATCTGATATGTAAGTTTGAGGTGTAGTTTAGTTATCTTATTACTTCTTTCTTATAGATACCGAGCCATCTTTTTTTCAAATTTTTATGGTTTGTAGTTTGATAACACAGCAAAATTATGTTCACCTGAAAATCTGCTCAGCAACAACATATTAACCATGGTTCAATCATGATCCAAATTGTTAGAATTTCGTAGACGTCTCGGTTTAAGAAAGAAAAAAAAAAACAAAAACAATGCTCTTGGTTTAGGTTTTTTTTTCCTGGAACTTGTTAAGTGCTTTTAGGTAGTATAGGCCTCTATGATTTCAGAGCAAAGGGCTAGGTATTTTTTTTCCTTCGGAGAAAACAAAGTAAAAGATTAGGGCTAATTTGACATTTATCACAACAACATTGCCAACACGACACGGGGACCTCTATTGGAGAGGTGTTGCTTTTCACTAGCTGTGGACCTCGTTGTGGCCTTTTCTTTTAGCTAATGGGTGGTGGACATGGTTCGGATTTGGTGGTTGGTGGGGATGGGCTTTAATAGTGGTTGTAGAGCTAGAGACCATTTTTGGATTTCGGCAGTAGGTAGTAGTGATGGACTTCACTGATGGTTGCAAAGATGGGGCCCGGGTTGGTTCAAAATAGTGGGTTTCAGGGGAGCAAGGGTGGTGGTTTCCTTGATGGGTTGGCCGGCACATTTTGAATCGTTGGAGGGCCTCAGTGGAGGACGGTGTGGGCATTGAGGAGTGGCCTTGCGCTCTCCGGTACTGGGAAAGATTATAAATTATGAAATTTGTAAGTAACATAACCCTAGAGTTGATAATTAAATCGAGTTATTCGAGTTTTGTTTAGTTCTGACTTATTTGGGATTCGACTCATTTTTTAAACATGTCGAACTTGTATAATTTTTTAGACACATTTAAAAATTGAGTTTAATAACTTTGGCTCAAACTCAACCGGTTCGACTTGGTGGTGTAAATATTTGAATTCAGTTTACATTTTCTTCTTTTTAAGTCTGATCTATTTTTTAAACGAGTTAAACTTGAATAAATTTTTGACAGATTTAATTTGGACTCGTTCGAATTCGTTCAATATCCAGCGCCTTGGTCCGGCATGTGGCCCCACATGCTGGCGTCTGCTCATAGTTCAAGTGGTTACGACGTTACGTCATTGTTAAACGGTGTCTTATTTGTCCCGTCGTCTAACAAATCTGTGGGTCCTTCTCGCAAAGCATTTGCGATTAGCTCGTTGTGGGGCCGGTCGAGATTACGTTTCTCTCGGGCGAGATCAGTATCTAATCTCCCTGATTACGTCTTGGGGAAAATTATAGTAACTTCCCCTATATTTTCTAACTATCGTATGGGGGAATTCTTGTAATTTGTAAAAAAAAAAATGCATTTTTTTCTAGCTTGGATTTCTTTGCCCCTTTCCGCCACTGTTTTTGCAACCCCATTCTAAGCTTGTAATTTGATCTGCCCAATCTAAACCTAGCTCATAGCCAAGGTTTGTAAGACTCGAATTTGGTAAGAATACACAAGCCAATTTGATTTAAATTTGAACACCACTCAAGTTTGGGTCTCAATTCCTAGGGATTCAACTCAAATTCGGGCACATGGATTCCATTGAGATGAAGTAGAATTTCAATTCGAATTGAACTTGAATTCCATAATTGTTTAACTCTAGAGTCGAAGCCAATTGCAACCCTAATTAAATTTTTGCGATATGTTTGAACCTTAATGCTTCACCAAAAAAAAAAAAACCATAGTGCTTCCAGTTCAAGAAGAAAACTCTAATGCTTTTGCCAAGTTTTTCTCCTAAATAAACATTTGTTACGTCGAAAGCACGACACTCTGGGAATGATGCTGTTTGACTCTTGTAATAAAGGCATTCCGTTCAAGGAGTTGCTTTCGGTCTTTAAATGTTTGAGCGAGTCCAAACTCGTGCATTGATTTTTCTCCAATAAAAATGACGTGTTTCACATGTAGTTTATACGAATTTGATTGTAAGAAGTATAAAGGGGTAAAAGCGCAATGGGCGGACTCAGAAATTATGTCTAGGACGGGCACTTTATTAAAAAAATTTAATTTTTTTTCTTCTAATCAATAAAAATAAAATAATATATTTAAATTTACTATATTGTATTCAATTCGATACTTAAAAATTCATAAATTATGAAAAAGGTGAAACTATGATAAATATAGCATACATAAATAAAAACAAACAAAAAATAGAGGCTAATTATACCCTTTCATAACAAATAAAATAAACTGCATAAAAGATATTAGAATATTTCTCCATATATATGATCATATCATTAGTCATTGATCACTCATTTAATTAAACAACCTAGTTGCCATAATCTCTATAATTTTTTTTTTAATTGAAATCTCTATAGTTTAAAAAAAATGAGTTTGACATGTCAAAAATTTATATAGATGTATCCCTAAAGTGTCCAAATTGTGTCAAAAAATTCATAATTATTTAGGTACGGAAACTATACTAATTGATAGAACAAAAAATGATAGAGTGGACATACTTAAATATACTTCAAATTATTTAAAATATACATAAGTAATTTTTTTTAAAAAAATTGAGGGTCGGCACATGCCCCCCGGTCCTCAAGTAGCTCTGCCCTTGAAAATCACTATGAGCTTTATTTTTTTTTTTGTTTAACGGTCAGAAATATTTGGGTTAATTTACGTACACTTCGACCAATTTCTTTTTCGATCTGATCAAAGACAGGTTATTCACCTTGAGATTAGGGTATTCGCGAGGAATTCAAGAGATTACCAAGATTTAAACTTATAACTCCTGCATTTATAACTCGTTATTGTTACCGGTTAAACTACCCTAAAAATACTATGAACTTGTAAGTTT